TATAAGTTTTATTTGAATAGAATTATGCCATACGTATTCTTATTTTGTCTGGCCTCTTTGACTCAGCATAATTGTTTTGAGATATCACTGTGTACACACAGTGCTGAGTAGTACTCTGTTGTATGGATATACCACAATTTGTTTATATGTTCACTTGTTGATGGACATTTGGGATTTTCCAGTTTTGGGCTATTGCAAATGAAACTGCTTTATATTACCAGTAAAGTCCTTGTGTAGAAATACATGTTCTTTTCTCTAGGGTAAATATATTCTGGATGCAAATCCATTATCAGATATTTGTTTCACAAATATGTTTTTTCAATCTGTGGCTTGTTTTTTTATGCTCTTCGCCAAGGCTTTTTTTTTTTTTTTGTCTTTTTCGTGACTGGTAAGGGGATTGCAACCCTTGGCTTGGTGTCGGCCGCACCGCGCTCAGCCACTGAGCACACCGACCATCCCTATATAGGATCCGAACCCGTGGCGGGAGCGATGCTGCTGATCCCAGTGCTGCACTCTCCTGAGTGCGCCACGGGGCCGGCCCTTCGCCCAGGCTTTTTTTTTTTTTTTTGTCTTTTTCGTGACTGGTAAGGGGATTGCAACCCTTGGCTTGGTGTCGCCCGCACCGCGCTCAGCCACTGAGCACACCGACCATCCCTATATAGGATCCGAACCCGTGGCGGGAGCGATGCTGCTGATCCCAGTGCTGCACTCTCCTGAGTGCGCCACGGGGCCGGCCCTTCGCCAAGGCTTTTGAAGAGAAGTTTTTCTTTATGATGAAATCCAATTTTTCAATTAAAACATGTATGGTGTGTGTATGATTTTCTTAATGTATGATGTATGATGCTTTGAGTACCATACTTAAGAAATTTTGGCTACCCCAAGTTCACAAAGATTTTCTCCTATATTTTCTTTTAGCAATTTTATAATTTTTGGTTTTACATGTAGGTTTATTTCCACTTGGGGGTTAATTTTTTGTATCATACATGATATGGATTTTAGTTGTGTTTTTTTCTTCCTGTGAATACCCAATTGTTCCAGAGCCTTTTGTTGAAAACATTATTCTTTTTACATTGAATTGCCTTAGTATATTTATCAAAAATAGATTGTGTGTATGTGTGTGTGTTTCTGGACTCTGTTCAGATTCATTGGTCTATCTATTTTGATTACTGTAGCTTCAACATAATTTGTGAAATTAGGTAGTCTTCCTTTTTCTTTTTTAATGTTTTGACTATTCAAGGTCCATTACATTTCCATACGAATTTTAGAATCAGCTTATCAATTTGTATAAAGTAACCTGTGGGATTTTGATTGGGATTGCTTTGATTCTATAGATTGATTTGGGACAAGTGCATTCCTAACAATTTTGAGTCGTCCAACCTATGAACAAAGTATATCGCTCCATGTATGTAAGTTGTCTTTAATATCTCAGCAATGCTCTGTAGTAGTCAGTGCTCAGGCCTTTCATGGCCTGTTCAGTTTTATCTCTGTATATTTTGTGGTTTTGGGTGCTTTTGTAAATGATATTTTCCATTTATCTTTCTGGTATTGATTTCTAGTTTAATTTCATTGTGGTCACAGAACATATTTGGAATTACTAAATTTCTTCTATACCTTTTATGGTTCAGAATCTTATAAATATTTTGAGCACATATGAAGGGAATGTGTATTCTTCTGCATAAGTTGGAGTGTTTATAAATGTCAGTTAAGTCGAGTTGGTTGGTTAATGTCGTTCAAGTCTCTTTATTCTCCTGATTTTTTGCTAATTGTTCTATCAGTTATTGAGAATGGTATTGAAATCTGTGACTATAATTATGGACTTTTGTGTTCCTCTTTGCAGTTCTATCAGTTTTTGGTTCATTTCATTTGAAGCACTTTTGTTAATATATACATGTTAAGGGTTATGTTCTCTTGATTAATGGATTTCTTTATTATTATAAAGCTACCTTCTTGGCAATAGTGTGTGCTTTGAAATTTACTTTGTCTGGTGTTAGTAGCCTCTTCAGCTTTCTCTTGTTGGTTTTCTTAGTGAAAGGGTGTTAATGTCTTTCCACATCTTCATATTTTAAGTGAATTTTTGTCAGCAGCATCTAATTTTTTTTTTTTTTTTTTTTTTTTTTTTTTTTTTTGGGTGTTAATGTCTTTCCACATCTTCATATTTTAAGTGAATTTTTGTCAGCAGCATCTAATTTTTTTTTTTTTTTTTTTTTTTTGTCTTTTTCGTGACCGGTAAGGGGCGCTCAGTCAGTGAGAGCACCGGCCAGTCCTATATAGGATCCGAACCCGCGGTGGGAGCGCTACTGCGCTCCCAGCGCCGCACTCTCCTGAGTGCGCCATGGGGCTGGCCCAGCAGCATCTAATTGAGTGTTGCTTTTTAATCCAATTTGATAGTCTGCATTTTAATTGGGATTGGTAGACCATTTATATTTAATGTGATTATTGATATGATTAGGTTTGATTTTGTCATCTTACTATTTTCTTTTCCACTTGTCCCATCTCTTCATTCCTTTTTTCCTGTTTTTCTGCCTTTTTGAATTAACTGTGTGTTTTTTATGATTCTATTCTATTTCCTTTTTTTTTTTTTAGCTATATATAACTCTTTGTTTTGTTATTTTAGGATGCTATAGGGTTTATAATATACATATGTAACTTATCACAGTCTACCTTCAAGTGATGTTATACCTTTTCGCATACAGTGAAATAACCTTACAACTGTGGTGTTTTTTTCCACCTTGAACATTAATGGTATTGTTGTCATATATTTTATTTATACTGTGTCCTAAATCCCCAGTATATTTTTATTAGTTTTGTTTAAATGATCAATTGCTTTAAAAAATAGTTAATAATTTAAATATTTTTAAAAGATTTAAATAATATAAAAATATATATATTTACCATGCAATTATTATTTCCATTGCCCCTTTATTCTTCGTGTAGATACATATTTCCATCTGCCTTCTGCCTGAAGCATTTCCCTTAACATTTCTTGTAGAGTAGGTTTGCTGGTAATGAATTCTTTCGGTTTTTGTATGTCTGAAAACATCTGTATTTTGCTTTTGTTTTTTAAAGACATTTTCCCTGGGCGTAGGATTATAGGTTCATATTTTATATTTCTTTCAGTATCTTAAAGATTTCTCTGCATGCTCTCATTTGCTTTGTTCCTCCATTTGTGACATTACTTTTTCTAGCTGGCTTAAAGATTCTCTTCTTTTATAATTGTTTTTGAGCAATTTGATTATTATGTATATGTACTTGGAGTTTTTGTGTTCATGTTTCTTGTGCTTGGGGTTTGTTGAGCTTCTTGGATCTGTGGCTTTATACTTTTCATCAAATTTGGAACTTCCTTGTATTTTTCTGTCCCTTCCTCTTTCTCCTTTCCTTTCCAGTTACATGTGTTTCATGCCTCATGAAGTTGTCCCATGGCTCACTTCTTTTTTTTTTTTTTTTTTTTTGTCTTTTTTCCGTGTCCGGCAATGGATCGCAACCCTCAGTGTTGCCCCCGTACCGGACCGGGGACCGGCAACGGGATCGCAAACCTCGGTGTTGCTCCTGCGCCTCGCTCAGCCAGTGAGCGGGAACCGGTCTGTATGTGGGATCCGAACCCTCGGGCGGGAGCACCGCCGCACTTCCCAAGCGGCGCACTATCAAGTGCGCCACCGAGCTGGCCCCCAGTTCTTCTCTTTTCATTTTTAAAGATTATTTTTCTTCTTTGTCTTTTATTTTGGATAGTTTCTGTTGCTATGCCTTCAAGTACACTAAAGTTTTCTCTTGCAGAGTCTAATCTGTCACTAATCCCATCCAGTGTGTTTTTCATCTGAGACATTGTAGCTTTTTCCTCTAGAAATTTGACTGGGTCTTTTTTATATCTTTCATGTCTGTGCTTAACTGTACTATTATTCTCACAGGTTTAATAATTGTTTTAATGTCTTTGTTTGACATTTTAATATCTGTGCAGTTCTTAGTATGTTCCAATTGACTGATTATTCTCTTTGTCATGGGCCATGTTTTCCTGCTTCTTTTGATGCCTTGTAATCTTTGACTGGATGACGGACATTGTGAACTTTAGCTTATTGGGTTCTAGACATTTTTGTATTCATATAAATCTTCTTGATCTTTTTTCAGAGGTGTACTTAGGTTTCTTAGAAAGAGTTTGCCTTTCAGGTCTTGTTTTTGTGATTTGCTGGAATGTCCTGGAGCAGTTCTCAGTCTAGAATAAATGACCCTCACTACTGAGCCAAGACCTTCTTGAATTACAAGTTTTCCATCTAGCTGGTAGGCATAGCCACTGTTCCTGACCCTGTGTATATAGTGTCAAGTACTGTTTCCATTTGTCAATAGGTCTGGACAAACTTTGGTTTTTAAACCATATGAATATGTTTCCTATTCAAAAAATTAAATTAAAAAATGAAGACAAAAATAGTTTCTTATGGTGAGCTAAAACCTGCCCCCATTCCTGTCTTACCCACTGGTCTCTGTTTTGCCCTCTGGACCTATAGAAGATAAGGGAATTTGCCACAGACCACCCCAAAGCCTGCTTTTGTTCCTTATCTTGGTTTTTCCCCTCTGGCTCCCATCCTCAGCTCCTTTCACATCCCATATTAGAAATCTTTTCCTGTCTTTTCATCATTTTGAAGATTTTCCTGAGGTCATTTTCATGTTTTTCAGTGTCCTCTAGAATCTGTTGTCACACTCTAAGGAAGTGAACTCATGGATTCCTGCATATCCTTCCTCTTGTTTTTCTTATGTGCTGTCAATCAAGTTGTGGTCAACTAAGATGCCCCACCAGCAATATCTCTCCATCTGTATAGATCCCATCCTGTACTTGTATGATTTTGCACTTTTTTCTTAAAGTCACCCCAGGACTTCTTATAGCTTCACATATATTTGGAAACAAAATTTTATAGCCAAGTCTCTTATCTTTCACCCTTTTATTAACCAGAGGGCAGGACTTTTCCAGCATGGGCTGCTGTGGATGTCTTGTCATGTTCTTACTCTTCTTGCAGGTTAAAGATTGAGGAGCTGGAGGGGGAGCGGAGTCGACTGGAAGAAGAAAAGAAGATGCTTGAAACACAGCTTGAGAGGCGCATTCTGCGGGTGAGTGCTGGTGGACAGCCACGTGGCGGGGGTGTGCCCTTCTCCCCGGCTTTCTTCCCAGATTTGAATGTCATGGTGCCTGCACCTATGGGGACTTCATTCTACACACCCCCTTGCCTGGCCAGGAGCACATGTCCCAGAGTCCAGCAGAGTGGAGCAGGTCCCCAACAGGCCTGTGCTGGTCACTAGCCTCCTTATCCTGGTGCCCTCTTCACTCTGCTGACTTCCTTCTCTCCTGTCTGTGTGGACTGCAGAACCTGGAGTCTGTCCAGATTGTGGGGTGATAGGAACAGGTTTGAGGGTCAAGAAGCCAAAGAGAGGCCTTCTGTGTGGTTTTGGGTTTGCACCCAAGCCCATCCCTGTCAACTGCCATTGTGAAGTTGGATTGCTATTTGCATTGTTTTAATTTTACTTTTTAAAAATCTTTTATTCTGTCTAAAATTGTTTCATTACAAGAGACCCACAGATTTGAGGTTACCCACTTTTCAGGCAGGCCATTGATTTTATCTTGGCACCTATTAGAAGGCAAATCAAACCTCTTTTTTATTACCAATTCCTGGTGATGGGAGAAGTGACATCTTTGATAAAGTGAGGTGCTTCGAGCCATGGCTGGACTGTGTGCTATGCCTGAGGACCTGTCATCTTGTACCATTTTAATTGGACCTCAGTATTCAGGTGAGGCTTGCCCATCGGCTGTTCCATGTCAGAACGGAGTGCCAGTGTCTTGCTGGGTATTTAGTTGCACTGAGCCTGAGCTCATGGCTCGATGTCTCCCCAAGCCTCTTGCTGATTGGGGTCCAGTGTATCCCCACAGGAACTGCTTGTTGCCGCTTTGCTGCTTCTGGGCTTGTGCACCTTTTCACAAGGCGTCCTCCAGTAGCTCTTGGAGAGGTCACTGAGGAGTAAATGAGAAGAGAGGTGCAGGTGCGCACTTTCCCTGGCACACAGTAAACCCCTGACGGATGTTGGCCAGCACTACCATGATGTGCAGGTGGAATGTCCACTGGGTATTCACATATTGAGCGTATCTGTGTAGGATTTACAGGGGGGCCGGACATCTGGTGGGAAATGCCAAGTGCTGCCTGCACTGTGTGTGGGTTGACACAAGTGGTAGGATTAGCTGTGTCTCCTGCAACCCTCCCACTGAGCTCTGCATGGGCCCTTGGAGAGGCAAGGGCCCCTTGCTGCATGCCCAAGTGTGTGGCTGCCCAGAGCTGAGGGGCTGGGCTCTTGCCTGGGGAAGTGGGATGCTATCAGCGTTGGTGTCTGCCCTGCTCTTGATACCCAGCTTTTGGCAGCAGAATAGAGCAGGGACCTAGTGTGCGGATAGGTGATGGCAGCCGCACAGAATACTGAGTGTGTGTATGAGCAAGTCCTCACAGCATGGCTGTGACTGGGCCTGGTGGTCCTGGGGGAACAAATGTTGGTACTATGATGTGGTGACCTAGAGTCCAGCTCAGGATTCACTGAACCAAAGAGAGCCCTAGACTGGGACGGCCAGGAAGACTGTGCCTGGTTAGTGTGGGAGAAACTAGCTCAGAGGTGAAGTGGGCGATAGCAGCAATGAGGTTAGCCCATGGAGTGGTGAGGCTTCTAGACAGCCCTGCAGCCATTGCTGTCTCTGCACCCCTCCACCCCCCACTGCAATTACACCCCTGGAAGTGGATATTCCAGAGCCAAGCCCAGGGAAGGTGAGGCTGTACAGTCCTGCCAGTGGGTGGCTCAAGGTTGCCCCAGCACTGGACACTCATAGCTGCGTGGACTTCCTCTCACCTGCTTCCAGGCCATGGTTGCTTGTGGTCCTGCAGCTGGACTCTTCCCCCAGACCTTGCCTGACCTCCTCTCCCCCCATGTCCCCAGCCACCTCCTCCACTCTGCCAGCACTTTGAGTTCAGCATGAATCCAGACGGCACTTTGGACCATCCCTGACCTGAAAATGGGGCTTGTTTCAGGAAGGTCATAGTGATGGAGCAGCTTGAGTCAGGCTGAGTCCCCACTTCCCTGCTGAGTCTCTCCATGGTGGGAGTGACCCCGCACCTCTGCCCTTTGCTGTCTCCATCCTCCTGGGCCCACCTGGTTCTCTCCTGAGCTAGGTGGTGCAATCTCATCTTATTGGTGAGAAGGCTGCCACACAGGTTAAGAAATTTTTTTTTCTTAAGAAATTCAGAGCAGCAGAGCTGGATCCGAGCCCAGGTGTGTCACCTTGGAGCTTATTTCTGCCTCTGTGCTGTTAGCCAGTTCTCCTTCCCCATGCTGCCCCTGCTGCAGCCCCAGTTCTTACAACTCTGTGGGCTCACCTCACAGGAGGACAGGCTGGCAGCTGGCCTGCGTCCCTCACTGCCCACTTCTGTCATTTTCAGCTCACCAGCCTTAGCTCTGAGGACCCCCAAGCCAGGCATGCCCTGTGGTCACTGGTCTGTTCCCTCTGCCCCCTCAAGCCAGCTCACCTCACATGCTGGCTGCAGGTGGTAATGAGGGACCTGCTCCGGGGCAGTGAAAGGTTTATACCCTAAAAGCTGAGCCAATCATTCCAGGTGGTGTTGGTACCCCCACTGTAAGGGACATTTCCTGTCTGACTCTGATGCCAGGGAGGCAGACGTTGCCCCCTGGTTGTCTGTTAATATACACGAGGATGTGTATCTGTTCAGGGCCAGAGGCTGAGCACTGATGAAGGTGGGTGGGTCCCATCAAGTAGACAGTGACAAAGGGACGACACAGCTATGGTCCTGGCAGAATGAGGAAGCTGGCCCAGGCAGTGCTTGAGATGGGTCTGAAGGTGATTTAGACATGTGAAAACAAAGGAGGGCTGCCAGCCATCCCAGGGCTTGGGTGGGACCAGAGTCAGAGTCTGCAGCCCTTGGTGGGAATCCTGACTCTTTCCCTTGGCTGGGTAGTCTTGGGCATGTAGGTTTTTCCATGTGAGCCCCCAATATTTACTTTTGTAAAATTGTGGATAATGATGCATTCATAGGGAGCTGTTGGGGAAGTAACATGCCATAGCTTTACCTCCACACCCAGCACAAAGTAGGTGCTCAATAAATGCGTGTGTCCATCTGTTGGCTCTTTCTGTCTTTTCCATCATTGAGGTCAGAGACCTCACCCCTTGAATCTGAACACCTCTGGACACTGCAGGCCCTCAGGAAGCGGCAGTTTGTGGGCCCGTCCTGGGGGCGCATACTGTGTGCAGACCCCAGACCTGAAACCCCAGACAGGATGGACGGGCTGCCCAGCTGGGCTGCCTGGCATGGCAGGCTGGGTTCTGAAGAGCGCTCAGTTAGCATTCAGTCCTGTGGGGCTGTGTTCACAGGCAGCGGCTGCTGGAGTGTTCCTTATGCTAATAACCTCTCTTGCTCTTCCTGCCTCCTCTTTCTTCCCTCTGGAGGAGGAGAGAGTCTTCAAGTTAGGCCATTTTAAGGAAAATTGATTAAAATCAGCTGCAGTTTGACTTAATTGGGAACATATGCTTGGAGAGGGGCTTGACTAGTCAGAACTTTTGGTAATTAGTTCACAGCTGGTTGGCGAAGACATGATGGAGTCCTGGTTACCACTTGGAGCTGGGTGTGGCTTACTCTTTGGATACCTGGTGGGGTGGGCGACAGGACCTGTGTGGGAGGCTCACTGGGCAGCCCTCACTGTGATGCCATCCTTTCTGGGTCTCCCTGAGGGTCCTTGGCTGTTCCCACACTCATCTAGGGTGACCTGTGTGCATTCCTTTTTTTTTTTTTTTGTCTTTTGTCTTTTTCCGTGTCCGGCAACGGATCGCAATTGTGTGCATTCCTAATGTTACTAATGGGGGTGGGAAGAGGGGGTGTGAACAGGGCCTGCCTGGGTAGCAGAACTTCCATCCATCCAGCCAGGGACCCATAGGTGGCTGCCGTCAAAGCTGCAGGAGGCCCCATTTAGAGATGGGTAAACAGACCCCCACAGTTAGCCAGCACATGAGGGATGACCTGAGACACCATTTGTTAGAGGCAGAGTGGGGTTTGAACATGTTGCAGTGTTCTCAAAGACAGAAATGAGGACCAGCCACAGGGGCCTGACATATCTCTGAGGACCCCTTCTCATAGCAGGTGGGCACTGGGCCTAGTGGGCTTAGATGCAAAGTCTGGGGGTGGGCCATGGCTCTGTCCCCCATTGGCTACATTTGTGGTCTCCATATGTTCCCCTGGGATGTGGAACACGTGGCCTCCCCTGCAGGCCGTCTTTGGAGAATGCAGGTAATGGTTCCTGGAGGGCCCAGCACATACCTGATGAGCCAGATTGCTTCCATCATCCTCACTGCCTTACCTTGGTGACAAGGTCCATGGTTTCCCAGACATATGTTCTGGTGGGCCGAGTCCCAGGACTTTGAAGGCACTGAGGAGAAGCCAGACACAGTGAGGCTGGTCAGGCATGCAGGCAGCCCTAGGGGTGGCTGGGCACTTACCTCCCTACAGGGCAGGCTACATGCCCATGTGTGGAGTGTGCAGTGTGGGCCGAGCACTGGAGTTCTACTGGTGTCCTCTTGGGTCTTGGGTTACCCACTAGTGATGGCAGAGCCAGCATTCAAACTCAATCCCATTGGATTTGTCCCAGTGTTTTATTATGAGCATTTTCAAACATAACAGTGAAGTGGAAAGAATTTTCCAATGAATACCCATTTATTTATCCACCACCCAGACTCTGCCATGAATATTTTCCTGCAGCTGCTTTGTGACTTGTCTGTCCATCTTTCTATCCATCAGTCCATTTTATTTTTTGATGCATTTTAAAGTAAATTGCAAACATCTGTACACTCTCCTCTAAATACTTCAGCATGCATGTAATTAAGTAGAATTCATCTCTGGGATTTTGAAGCCTGGCTTCAGCCATCCCTCAATACTGCCTAATCATGGTGCTTATTTGGTATGTATCCGGGCAGGTTGGTGGTCAAGGGCAGGTGGAGCCCCTCCTCCTACCTTGGAGTGCTCCCTCCCCACTGTGAGCTCTTCCTCCCTGCCCTCCAGAGCCAGGCCCCTGAG